GCCTCCAGAAGGCGCGCCCGTGCCTGACGCCGCGGGACGGAAAAGAGGAGAGCCAGATGCGACAAAACAAAACCACACACACACACACACACACACAAAGCCCCCCCCAAACGGAAGGAAGTTCCTTCCCTGGGGGCACGCGCCGCGGAGACTGCCTGTCACGCATAGACCTGCTCCCCGCGCCGGCGGCTGTCTCGCTGCTTCTGTCATTAAAAACAATCCTCTCATGCTGTGGAGCAGCCAACCCATAGTCTCTCCCTCGTTGTCTTCCTACCACCGCCCCCCCAATTATCCCCCTGTCCCCCGAAAAACCTCCAGCTTAGGGAAGCCCTAGCTTCCTTCAGCCGTCTTCCCGCCCGTCTCTTCTCTTTTTTTGCCGATAATATAACGTTGCAGCCTCTGGCTGTCCTCCTCCGGCTCCCCCCCCTCCACTTGCTGGCCCGGAGAGGAACCCCCTTCCTAGCCCGCCTGGAACAATTTGTGGGGTGGGAAAGGCGGGAGGCTTCCTTTTGTGTCCCCCACCCCCCCAAAAAAAAGCCGACAGAAAAGCCAGGCAGTTTTGCGGCTTCCCACAAGAAGCCGCGCCGACGCGAGGCAGGTGGCACCGGCCCCTTCCCCGGGTCGCGGCCTTTCCCCAGCCTATTTTCCCCCCTCCCTCCTCGGGAAGGAAGAAACGCCGTGGCGAAGGCAGCCCGCTCGGCACCGCTTTCTGCACCTCAGGCCGGCCGGCGAGGAAGCGGGAACGCTATGCACTTGCAGCGGGATTGAGCTTTCCGCGCAATCTTCACGAGAGGCTGCGCCCTCTCGTCAGTTAATAGCTCTCTCCCTTCCTCTCCCCGCCCTGGACCCCGCGACTCCCCTCAGCGCCTCGTCTGTCGCGGTGCCGCCTTCCCGCCCTCTTTTCTACCGCCTCCCTGCCAGCCTTTCATATATTCCCCCTCCTGGCGGGTTGCCCGGCGACCAGCTCCGCCGCCAACTCCAACCCCGGGCGGCAGGTACCGAGGCTGGCGCGGCGTTGCAAAGGTAGCGCGTTGGCCGGAGCAACCCCTGGCGCGCTCGCAAGCAGCCGGGACTTACTTGGCGCGGAGTTGCCGGCAAGCGTAACCGCGGCCGCGACCTCTCCGCAAACGGCGACCAGGCAGTGGCTCCAGACCCAGAGGGTTGCCAGCAGCGCTCCCCTTTGGCCCATGGCTCGGAGACGAGGCGGGTGCCTGCCCGGGTCGAACCTCCGCGTGCGTAAAAGTGGCGGG